ATACCTTGTTATAAAAATATTTATAGTTATACATCATGAATATAAAATGTGGTTGTTTCCATGCTGTAACTAATAAGTTTTAATTTTTATCCAAGTCCTGGCTTGATGCCTCAGAAGTTACAGTTGACGTCATGTGAATAAAACTAAAAGGAAAAACCTATGGCAGTAGGATCTGCATAAATATGAAAATTTTGGTATTACTATTAAACTATTAAAGTACTACCAAAAATACTGTGAAGGTCACAGAAATGTGTAATTTATTATTCTTTGAAATATGTACAAATACAAGTAGAATAGCAAAAGCGAGAAACAGCCGACAGTTCAAAAATATTCTAAATTTCTATATCCAATTACGTTAAGTGAAGAGTAAGTTCTAACACTGCAGCTACTGAGTTAGTACGAGTTATCCTTATCAGTATTACTAATTGGCAGTTTGAACACGTTCAATTTATCCATCACTACCTACATATATTGAAAGATGTAGCTTTTGTAAACTTACCTAACATGATAATGAGAAGCCACTTTCTGACGATGACTAAAATCGCTTCCATCAGTTCCAGTAACCCACGGCCCTCCTCTTGTAGCCATTTTCGTCAACCGACTATGTGAATATGTCCTTGTAAGTATTGCGTTTAATTGTCACTAGAGTGCATCGACAACACACTCTGTTATTAGTACAAACATATTTGTTGAACACAACAAAAATGAAATTGAAAAAGTATGGTGTTTTGAGATGTATTTTACCATACATATAATATACACTCCACCACTATATGACGCCTACTCTTATTCTTTCGATTTGCCCTTATCTACGGTTACTGATGAGGAATAGAATTCTCCGAAACCAGCGTAACTCAGTGGCAAGTGATAAATCGAATAATAGATTGGGCTTCACATTTAGTTTTTAAAACATGCCGTGGATTAACAGTCAGACCTTCAAAATTATTTGTTGGAGTTGCCTTCTTCATCGGATTTACCAAAAATAATAAAATATTTTCGATAACCCTCTCGTTACGCTATTATGTTTATCACATGTATATTGTTGCGTCAGCGAGGTCATGTGACTAGTATCACGCCACGTCCTTCTCTCG